ACTTAAAAATATGTTTATTAATCATTTTACATGCTTTGCTCTTCACTTGGTTTTACTATTCAGCTTTGTAGTAGTTTGAAAATCTGATCAACTTTCTCCTTTCAAATTAGTTTTGGCCCTCCAGTACTCTAGTGCCCAGTACTCTAGTGCTACTATGCGCTTTTCGCGAAGTTCCCTAAACAATGTGTTTATACTCTTAAATAAATACTTTCTTTCTTTCTTTCTTTCTTTTTTTCTTAAGGTGTTATGGTTGTATATGTCATTATAATAATATCAGGTAGTCTATGTTGTATGCCCATTTCCCGAGCCTCTCGCAGTCTTGCAAACTGTCGTTGAGGCTGCTACGGCTATTGGATCAGTTATCGTCTCTTCTGACAAAGAGAGGCGATCTACATTGCGCAATCAAGTTGGGAAGGCTTTAAGTTACTCAGCAGCAGTGGATGAGGCATTCTCCAATGTTTTGACTCTCTCAGGCTTTTGTATTCCTAGGTTGGTTTTACAGATAATTACGGTTGATGCTATCTTTAGGGTTACAAGCCCTCCATTCAGCGAGCTTGTGATCCTGAAGGAAATTGCATTCACTATTTACAACAAAGCTCGCAGAATTTCTCGTGGGTCCTCAAATGACACAGCTCCTTCGTCATCCGTATCAAGCAGATCACATCCTGCCCTGATGCAAATGAGTTCTCCTATTCCAATGTGGAAGGATTATGGTTCTCGCAATGTAAGTTCTTCCTTCCAGAGAGAGGGTGAACTCGATGCTAACCTGAGGCATGGTACATGGGATAACTCATGGCAGATGTCTAGAGCTGGGGGAATTGGGAGTGACCCTAACAGAATAGGCGACATCATTTTCCAAGATGAAATCCGATATTTATTTGAACCATATTTCATTCTTGCTGATCCTGGTTCTTTAGAGCGTGGACATTCATTCCCTGTTTCTGGGAACCTGTCATCTGAATCTTCAAGACTTTTGTTGGATGATGGTATAAGTGGAGATATAGGAGCAAGCTCTCTGTCCGAAGGGAGAGAATTTGATGGGTCTGGGTCTTGCCACCAAAAGTTGCACTGTTGCTACGGATGGACAGAGGATTGGCGGTGGCTAGTGTGCATATGGACAGATTCGAGGGGAGAGTTGCTCGACAGTTACATACATCCCTTTGGGGGCATCAGTAGCAGGCAGGATACAAAGGGTCTGCAATCTCTTTTTGTCCAGATCTTGCAGCAAGGGTGTCAGATACTTCAGGCTTGTGGTGCTGATGATGCCACTGCCAATCCTAGAGACTTTGTGATTGCGCGTATTGGATACTTCTTTGAGCTAGAGTGCCAAGGTGAGCACTTTTTTCTGCTCTAATTGTTGATATGCTGGAGTTCTATTGTTTTGGATGTTTTTGTTTTTTAATGTATGGTATTCTCAGTATTCTTCTACCAGTCATTCCCAGTTCTTGGTCCCAAATTTGTGTGGTTTTTTAAGCCTTTGTTTGGTTCAAAGAGAGGGAGGAAGAAATGAGAGAAGGGATGTGAGGAAAACGACTATTTTTTAATCAATGGGAAGTGCTTAGGAATTTTAATCTAGAAAGATTTTCTTTTGCATATTTGATATAATTCTTGGTAGTGGCCTCTTGTGAAAATGACAAGGGAAGGTTTGCTCCTTATACATCCTTGTGGGGACTCTTTCATGGACCCTTTATATTTGATATAATTCTTGTAGCAATTGTAAAGCAGAAATATATATACCTTAATGTTGTAGAAAAGGTTGATTTTAAAAATGAAAAATTAAGAAAAAAGTGCAACCCCTCGGAAACATCTCAAATTGGGGGTGAGAAATGTGGTGTCTTGAGGAGTTCATAGCTCCTACACTTTCCTCCCCTCCTTCAACCCCCCAATCAAACACCAACGCTCCACTTTTCTTCCCTTCTTTCCAAACCCTCCTATCAAACAACGGCTAAGATTAGACACGAAGCTACAAGCCTACAACTTTAACAATGCTAAATTGTGTATATTCTGATTTTGGATTCTAGTCTATAATTAGTAATTCCAAATTGAGTTTGACAATTTTGCCCCCTTAAGTTCATTGCTACTCCGTATTTCTTATCATACACCTTTATGCTTGATAGACCACAAGTTAAAATATACTACCTCCGTTCTTCAATAAGTGCAACACGTTGAATTTTACACTATTCACATGTTCTACTTTGACTACGTTTTATTTATTAATGTCTAATTTTTTTTTTTGAAAAAAGTATTGTTAAATTTGTCTCATTGTAAATTTTCAAAATCTGATTTTTTTTATAAAAATGTTTTACTAATACCGAGTTGTATATATTAATGGTCAAAGTTGTGCATTGGAAAAAGTGAAAAGTTGACCATTGCACTTATCTAAGAACAGAAGAAGTATTGTGGGTGTGGACCAAATCTGGACCATCTATAATACAGAGGGACAAATGTTTAAATTAATTTTGTAGACCATATTTATTATTCAGTTGATCCTGCTCAGCTTCATATTTTAGATTGTAAAATGTCTAAGGAGTAAACATGACGTTGTGGCTATATATGTGCAGAATGGCAGAAAGCACTCTATGCAATTGGTGGCTCTGAGGTGAAAAAATGGCCTTTACAGCTTCGGCGATATGTACCTGATGGGGTACCTCCAAACAGTAATGGAACTTCCTTGCAACAACAAGAAATGAATTTAATACAAGAGAGAAGCTTAGCATCTTCCCCTAGTCCCTCGCTATATAGTTCCCACTCAAAGGCTTCTTCATTCATTAAAGGTGGTCTGGGACAGCCCAATGCAAGGCAGCAGATGATTGGTGGTCACCCTTTAGTTGATAATTCCAGATGCTTGCTTCAGTGGGTCCAAAGCATTAGTTTTGTATCAGTTTCAATTGATCACTCCCTGCAGCTCGTGCTTCAAGCAGATTCTGCGTGTCAAGGTATTTTTCCATTTTAGTATTGCCACAAACCTTTAAATTTTGCCAACAACCTTTAAGAGGTCACAGATTCAAGTCATGGGAGTGACCTCTTGTCAAAATGACAAGGGAAGGCTTGCCCTTTGTACACCCTTGTGGTGGGACCCTTCCCCGGACCCTCGCCTTGCGGGATGCCAATGTGCACCGGGATGCTCTTTCTTATATCTATTAGAGATAATCAATCTATATTTTTAATTTTATTTGTTGTTTAATCAACGTGAACATAATCAACTTGTTTAATGTGTGAAAAAATACATCAAATATAATAAAAACCAGATTCTTTGATATTTTGTTTCTTCTAATCCCAATGTTCCAAATAAGCTCCTCATTTGCTTTTGGAACATGTGGCAAGTCATTTTCACATTCCTATATAACAATGATCTAATGTGTTGTTTCTTTCTATTTTCGCAAAGGGGCAAGTCAAAGCAGTAGCAGCAACATTCCAGGTCCACCCAGTTATCTTGAAGGATATACCCCTGTGAAGTCCCTCTCTTCGACTCCCACATCCTACATATTCATTCCCTCCCCCAACATGCGCTCTCTAGCCCCTGCAAACCTCCAGCTGCCGACATGCCTCACTGCCGAATCCCCTCCATTGGCACATCTCCTCCACAGCAAAGGCTCTGCACTCCCGTTATCGACCGGTTTTGTGGTCTCAAAGTCTGTGCCTTCAATGAGGAGAGATGCGCGGAATATTTCAAGAGAGGAGTGGCCTTCCGTTCTTACGGTCGGCCTCGTCGACTACTTTGGCGGAAACCGTGGCCCACAAGAGAAAGTAGTGGTTAAGGGTGGCGCCCCGAAAATTGGGGGGAAGGGTGGCTTGAATTTGGAAACCAAAGATTTTGAAGCGGAAACTCATCGTTTGGTTCTCGAGAATATAGCAGCTGAGCTCCACGCATTGTCATGGATGACTGTGAGCCCTGCATACTTGGAAAGGAGGTCCGCTCTTCCTCTCCATTGTGACATGGTGTTGAGACTTAGGCGGTTGCTTCATTTTGCTGATGTGGAAGTCTCTCGAGTGCCCAAGAAGTCACAAGTTTAGGATATAAATAATGAAATATAAAAAATATGGAGTAGAAGTCCTTTAAGGGAGTCTATATGAGGACATGATTTAACGTGTCCAGTTTACTGGGTATGGAATGATGAAAATCATGTGGGCCTGTTGAACTACGTGGAGCCCTGTGGCTTTATGCCCATATTTTGCAATGTCAGCACATTAAGGTGTGGTCCCACATGGGCTCTTTTGAATTCATATAAAGAGCCATGCATTTTTTTTGTAAGTTTTTTTGGACTAGTCATTTGTATTTCAGTGTGTAGGAGATCCTATTATAGATATGGTGGTCAGAGAAGTAGATTGCTATTGAGATCTTGTAATTTGTAAATAACATTCAGAATTTTATATTAACCACAGCTGAAAAGGTTCAAATCTTCACGGTAGAGATATGGACATATGGTAGTGTTATAGATTTTGGTTTTCCCAGTATTTATTCTGGGGTTTTAAATGTAAAACTTGTTTGTTCTGTGGGTATCTTGTGAATAATCCTGTGACGAATTCAGTCAATAATTGGTTAATTATTTATTTAAGGATGTTTTCTTTTGGATTGAAATTTGTTGGTCTGGTCTGGTAAATGTCTGGTCTCTGTGTATTTTATAACCATGTAAGTCTAGTTTGGTCTGGTCTTGGATTGAAAATAGCCCTAAAGAAAACATTTAAGTGTCAAGTTTATGCGATATTTAGGGATTTGATGTGGTGTCATTTTATTCAATTTCTAAAATTCGTTCCCAGTGTATATGCTGATAGTTTAGTGCGTATTCAGTAGAGCCGTCGAGGTAAGCCATCGCGTCTTGTTTCTAATTTGTACAGTGCGTTGGGTGTTTGACAAACACCCATATAGACTGGACACGTTAAATCATGTCCTCATATAGACTCCCTTAAAGGACTTCTACTCCATATTTTTTATATTTCATTATTTATATCCTATACTTGTGACTTCTCGGGCACTCGAGAGACTTCCACATCAGTAAAATGAAGCAACCGCCTAAGTCTCAACACCATGTCACAATGGAGAGGAAGAGCGGTTTGGGAGTCTATATGAGGACATGATTTAACGTCAGGCCGGGGCGGTTTTGGGTCGGGCCACCCGGCCTGAGTCCACCACTGGGTAACGGACATCAATGTACAAATTGATCATTCGGTTGTGCAATTTCTGAAGGAGAAGTTGATTAGCAAATGGTGATGGAGGATAATCATGAAAACGAGAAGAAGTAGAATCGTTGGCTAGACGAATGGAGGTGAACGATGAGAACGGGGTTGTGTTGGTGGAGGCTACGGCTCCTGGTGTTGCATATGTGAGTCTATCATTGGTAGGAAGCATTACATCCAAAAAATCGGTACGCTTTTCTGTGTTTCATGATGCTATGACGTCTGTTTGGAAACCAGTCAAAGGTGTCACTATAACTGAGTTAGGGGCTAGACGTTATATGTTTCGGTTTTACCATGAAAATGATGTGCTTCGGGTGCTAGAAGGATGGGACTTACCTTTGGCAGTTTGTCTAAATAAAGCCGATTTTTGTGTACAAGTCCATGATGTACCTCATGTACTGGTAGGATATTTTACTATGAAAATGCGGTGAAAATTGATTACTTTGTGGGGAGCTATATTAAGGTGGATGATTTACCCCATTTTAGTGTACAACATTTGCACCCCCTTATTTGGGTGGTTCACAAAGCAATTCATAACAAATGGGACAATTAATTTGTACACTAAGAGCCCGTTTGGTAGCACGAAAATCGATTGATTCGGCTGATTCTGCTGAAAGTTATGAAGTTCTGGTTAAAGTGGCTGCATTGGCTGATTCTGCTGATTTAAGGACTAAACTTTTTTAAAATATATTTTATTAATGAAATAAAGAAAAAATTATATGTAAAAATAGTTAAAATGGTCATCCACAGTAAGTCAATAACTTCAGCCAATACAGTCAGAAAAGTAACTTCAACTTTACTTTTTCTGCTTATCACACAATTCAGCGCGCGAAAACAAAAGTTATGTGTTTGGGGAAAAAATTGGCTGATAAGCCGAAAAATGGTGTTGCCAAACGACCTCTAAAATGGGGTATACCAAGCATTCACCTATCAAGTAATTTTTTTATCCTAAAACCCAACAATTATATTAAATCAACAAGTTGTTCCTCACTTGTGCTCATGCTAGTCACATTATTCCGATTATCCTTATTTTAATCAGAATTATTTCGAAATTTAATGATAAAATGGGAAAGCGATGGGACTTGGTTGATACTTGGATAGTTGGATCGAACTTGGTTTAATGTTTTAAATTTTTATCATGCTTTTACCGGATTCAAATTAGCTCGAACAGCCGAATGATTATTACAGCTACCGGTCCGGCATCATAGACAGATTTCTCCTATCATCATGCATTACGGTCTTTGGTCATGGACTCATGGGATCACAAAAAGTGGCACAAATTAAGGAGTAATCATTGACCAACATAATCACATGGATGAAAAATGAAAAATATACGGAGTATATCCTACAAAGTACAAATCCACTTTCAACATTTTTTTACGAGTAAGAAAAAAATAGTCCCTTTTCGGTTATTTTTCAAAGTGGAGCTAGGTGTACACAAAAGTTGTACACTTGTTTGTCCCTCACAGACAAGTTGTCTGTCCGGAGACGAGTTGTCTGTCCACAGACAACTGATCTCCGGACAGACAACTTGTGTACAACTTTTGTGTACACCAATCTTTTTTCTATTTTTCATTTGTTATATTTTTCTAAATCTGGAAACTTTACTCCTACTTTTTATAAGTATACTCTTTCGTATTACTTTTCCTCTTTTTATTACCTTTTCTACTTTTTTTTTATACTGGAAACTGTCATATATTAAATTAAATCAAATCTCGCAGTACAACTAGGAGAATTGCAAATATTAAACCAACTAATACTAACCTCTCTCTAGCCAAACGTAACCATAAGCCTGCCGCCCCTCTCACTTCTATATCAGACATAGAATAGTCCACACCAAAAAAAGCGAGACTAATCACTGAAAATGTGAGAACTTTAAGGCTATCAGCGGCTGAATCAGCCTGATTTCCTTTCATTAGAAATCTAACAACTAAGGTAAACTAATCTAAGAATCCGCCACCCTTATTATTTGACCTAATAAAATAAAATTAAAATAAAGATTAGCAACCAAAACATAGCAAAAATAAATAAACTTTAGCGGGTGGAACCGCGGAATCCATTCTTCTGACGTTGTCTTCCAGGTCCTCATCACACAATTCCTCTTTGGCGGCCGTTCAGGAGGGGGACGAATCATGCAGATACCATATTGTTCCTCCATCACATGAGTTGGCCAATATACTCTTTCGTATTACTTTTCCTCTTTTTATTACCTTTTCTACTTATGTATCATTTTTTGTGCTTCCGATGCTTGAAATATGAAGAAAGAAGAAGATCGAATCGGGGCTGGACGCGCCGATTCTGGTCGTAAAAACGCAGCTTGGGACTGGTACACGTGAACCGCCCCGAGACCAATTTCCTAACCAAACCGTACAAATCGATTTTGGCAATCGGCCGGTTCCCGTTACGACCGATCCGGACCGGTGTGGTTCGAAGCCTTTGCTTCACCATCAATAAACTTATAAACTAATGGAAACAATTTTAATGCAAATAATTACTCCATATTATTTTAAATTATTGTTGAACTTACAAAGATTTCTATCGAAACAAAGGTGCAGAAAGCACCTACAAATCCACCCCCATTAATTATGAGAGTAATCAAATAAATCAACTTTATCCTTAACACTTACATTCCTACTTTTGATGGTCTTGAACTCTTGATTTGATCGAGTCTTCCAATTCAGAATTACGAGGTCTTCCAACTCGAGTAGTAGTAGGGTCCAACATACAATAAGTTCATTTCAGAAAATTTTATACATCGAGTAATTTTTTTTTTTTTTGCAAGAAATACATCGAGTAATTTTAGTTAAGTAATTGAACAATAAGGAGCCTCTTTGGTGAACCGCCTCGAGACCAACTCGAATTGTATTGTTTTTCAATTTATCAGACTTATCAGTGAATTTTTTCATTAAACACGTAACTTTTGATTTCGCGTATTGAGTTGTGTAATAAAAAAAATAAGATTGGAGTTACTTTATGACTATAATGGCTCAAGTTAAGGATTATTTTAGCTATTTTTTTATATAATTTTTTCATTATTTTATTAATAAAATATACTAGTATTTTACATTTTTTTTCACATATCAGGAGAACCAGTCAATCCAGCCACTTCAGCCACAACTTAGGCTATGTTTGGCGTAACGAACTGGAGCTGGAGGCTAATGTCTGAATTATGAACTATTGTCTGAATTCATACTATTGCCTGAAACTGAAATTTAAAGTGCTGAATCTGAATTGCTAGCTAAATGAATTAGACCTGTTTGGCAAAAACAGCTGAAATCGTGATAGGAAAATATAAAATTACATTATTGGGCATATAATACATTAATAGAATAGATATATACGATTCAGATGAGCACAACAAATTGCTAAGAAGAAAAAGAAATAGTAGAAGAAAAATGCTGGTAAATACAGTAAACAACCAATTTTTATTTATAATAACAACCACCCTTTCCCACGTTAGAAGAAAAAAAAGGGGGTTTCTTATTAGAATTTCTTTGGCATAAATTGAAAGTTGTTAAAGCAATTTGAAAACTTTCAAACCAGAGTGCGACTCTGTTCATATCTAAGCAGGTGACCTTGTAATGAAGAAATTCGTTTAGTGTTAGCAGGTATTGGAGACGGAAGTGAAGAATAAATTCAGGTATTTATTAATAAATACACGAATCCCTAGAAAAGAGAAAACATCGGAGCAGAGCATCGGATGAAGTAGGGGTATAACAGGAATGTAAAGTCTGGAATTTAGCCACTGAATGTAAACGCTAGGTGTGTGAACGTCCGAGTTCAGCTGGTTTATTTCAGTTCAAGACGACTTCAGTCTTTCAAACAAACACTACTATTTAAAATACAACTGACTGAATTGTAAAAATTTCAACTCTTTTTTGACTGAATGGACATGCCGAACACAGCCTTAATAAAGTTCAACATAATCAGTCAATTCAGTGTTATCAAACTCTCAAGGTGTAAATATTAATTAAAAGAGCTCATAGAATCAAGTAAAATTGAATATGGTGATATTTATACCCATTCCACTCAATTACCAAAAAATAACTTTGCGATAATTATGTTGGGTGAATTGCGTGTTTAATCGGAAAATAATGAGATTATTTAAATAAATAAATAATCAAGAAACTAGAAACAAGAAGGGACTAGTCTAAGCTTGTGCAACACACAATTTCCTTAAAATGTATTCGTTGTCTTTCACGGTGTTAGGAGCGTTACAATGATAGTTTCTCAGGATACGGTGGCTATGAGCACACAATTGGTTGTTCTGGTGAACGGAAACAATACAAGAACACTAAGGAATTTTTCAGAGTGCTGGAGGTGGCTTTTAGCTCGAAAACTACGTGAAGACTGTGTAGTTCGTGTGTTGTTGCATATAACATGCCAACTGTATATAGGGACGGATTTGTTGTGTACTAAATGAGCTTTAATGGACCTGAACATTGAACATAAATGACCAGAACATTGAGTATTAATATGTCGAAAAATTGTCCATTTAATTAAAGACGCATTAAAGGAGAAGAACGTTGGACAATAATTATTGTAATGTTGTCGAGCAGTTCCGATGCGGAGCAGAAAAGTTTTGGTCTGAACAGTTTTGATGCGGAACAGAGGTGTTTTGTCAGAGCAGTTCTGATGCAGAGTAGAAGTGGTTCTGTCCGAACAGTTCTGACGCGGATCAGAAGCGCTCTCTCTCAGCAGTTCTGTTGCGTAAAAATTTAGAAACGTTACGGGAAGAAACAAAAATTAAATCGTATGTTTGAGATGACATTCGCACCCGCATGTTGCCAACGCACATATGTCACGATTTTTCTTCTCTGTTTTCGAGATTTGATCGGCACCCATCCTGCGCGTGAAGAGAACCTTTCCACCTAGCAATCTTAACTCTTTCAAAGAGGGTGACCTTTATAAGGGGGTGAGAATCCATTGGATTTTCCAATGTGGCATAAATCACACTAAAAACTCATTCTTTTCTCAGTTTTCTCTATTTCAACGAGTGAACTTCGAGAATCGATTTCTCATTCACCCGTTATGCGTTTTGAGTGTGCCACATCTCGAATTGAAGCTCTTAACAAGGGGAATCCGAAACCACTTTGACATGACCCAAATCGGAAGTGGACCCCACTCAAATTACTGTCCAAAATTGGCCATTTAATGCAATGTTAACACATTTTCCAACAAATTATACATGAAAGCAATGATTATTACATAAAAGTCATTGATATTCACTCCACCAATCCAACACCATCAATATATTCGGTCATATTTTGCAATCAAATCTTTCCTTTCATTATTATACATCATTTTTGTCAATATATTTTTACGAACACTTCTGATTTAACAACTCAAACATTTCGATAAAAAAAATAATTTAAAATTTAATTTGGTTTTTTTATTTTAGACCTATAATTATGAAAATTGTAAACAAATATTGTAACTATGAGATTTTAATTTTAGCATCTAGATATATCTAAATATTCTTTTAGCCTAACACCTTAGCAATTAAATCTTCAATTTTTTAACTCTATGTATACAACATTATTATCATACGAAAGATAATAAAAATTTATGAATTTTGATATATATTATGTATGTATAGTTTTTTGTAAATTCTAAAATACAAATAAAAAACAGTGAATAAGTGATGAGAATTTCACACCCATGGTGTCATATTACTTATACCATTTTTTCCCAAAGTTGTATAGCTAGACTATTGGGGTGATTATGCTAACTTTGGCCTTTTGACCCATGTTGCAAATGCGTTTTGCTAGGTGTACACAAAATGTGTACACCAAACATTTTTCATTGCAAATAGCCTTATGTAGGTAAAGGTTTAAAATAGGTAAAAATGTGAATAAAAAAAATACGCATTTGATCCACTAAACAATGGTTATAATACGTAATTATCAAGTGAATGATTGGAAATTTGGAATATACTACCTCCGTCCCAAAAAAACTTCTCCATTTTTTTAACTTTGACTAACTTTATTTTTTATTGAAAATATTTATAATATAAAAATTATATGAAAATGTTCTTTCTTAAAAGTACTTTAATAAAAGTATAAAATCTATAACTCATAATATTATACTACTTGAAATCATGTTAAAAGCACTTTAATAAAAGTATAAAATCTACTACCTCCGTTCCTTAAAACTTTGACATGTTTGACCGGCACGAGGATTAATAATGTAAAAACTGTGTGGTAGAGGTTTGTGCAGAGGAGAGAGAATTAACTGGAACCACAAATTCATTAGTTAAAAGGGAAAGTGACAAAGTTAGTGGGACATCCAAAAAAGGAAAGTTGGCAAAGTTTTAAGGGACGGAGGGAGTATAACTCAATAATATTATACTACTTGAAATCATGATTCAAATTATTTGTAATGACAATTTTTTTTAGAGGGGTAGTATGTCTTCCCTAAAATTTTTATGGTTATCCACAGTCAATATCACAACTCTAATACTGCTGTATTAATTATTTACTTCGCAATTGCCTTGTTCAATTCCATTTTAAGTGGCCGACATGTGGGTTCTCTTTTCAAAGGCTTCTTTTTCTGTTGCCGGATAATCTGATCATCATATTCTGATATGATTGTAATTAAATTAACATTAAAGCGGAGTTGCTGACAAGATAGCTCAAGATTGAGTTCTAAATCTTGACTCTCCATTCCCCTTAATAGTAATTACCTCAAAGCTTGTTTTTTTTTTTTTTTTTGCTTCTGTTTTTGTTCTCTCTTTTCTTGGAATGTGGGGATATAGAGATGGAATTGGAATGAGGAGAGAAGCAAAAGCTGCTGGATATTGGTGGATGACATTTCTTTGTTTTCTGGGCTGTTCAACAAGCATGCTAGCTCCTAATGGTATGAACTATGAAGGTAAGAATTTTTAATTTTCCACTAATTAGCCTCTCATTACAATTAACTATCATTTAAGCATTAAAATCTAGGAAAAAATAAAAAAGTAAAGCCTTTTCTTTATGGGGTGTTCCAGTGCAAGCTTTGATTGGAATAAAAGCTGCTTTAAAGGATCCTAATGGAATACTTGATAAGTGGGATGGTACTGCTGTTGATCCTTGTAGTTGGAATATGGTCACTTGCTCAGATGAAGGTTTGGTTATTGGCCTGTAAGTTAATCTTAATCTCCCTAGAGAAAATGCAATTTCTTTAATTCTTTCTTCAAGTCTTACAGAATATGAATAGTGAATGCACACTTTCTTTCTGAGTTCTTTTGGATATTGAGTAAGTCATAGTTTTATTCTTAACATAATATCAAACAGACTTGTAGCCATGGTCTGTAATGGAAAAAAATACATTGACCACAGAGTTGTGTGATCGTGAGGTTTCTGTGACGAACTGAGTCAACCAAAATCAAAACCGAAATCGATAAAAACCGATTAACCACGCGGTTTAAGCCTTTTACTTTCAAAATGATCAAATTGACTAAAACCAAGGGGCACAAACCATCACAATAAAACTAAATCGAAACCAACTAAAGTTAATTGGTTGAATTCTCGATTTTGCATTTCCAAATGAATTGGCTAGTACCCCATATTTGGCTGTGAAGAGATGTCTGATTGTAGGCATTGTATGTTCCATGAACAATACTCACAAAACTGAATTGTGTTGAAAGAGTTTTTTCCTATAATAGTGTTAAAACAAAACTTATGAGCAAATGGCTATCTGGTATTCATATTTTTAATTATACATTTGTCATTATGATTTAGAAAAATTTCTCACATCAGCTAAGTATTAAAGGATAAATTGCTACGATTGCAGGGGAATTCCCAGCCTGGACTTGTCTGGTAATCTTTCTCCAACCATTGGAAATTTGACAAACATTAAATTCCTGTAAGTTCTTTGGTAGATATGAAACATATCCCAAAAAGTACTAAAAATGCTTCTTAAAATACATTGCAGTGTTAATAGATAGATAGTATGTGGTTAACAGAGAGTTGAGAAACAACAACATAACAGGAGCAATACCAGTGGAGATTGGCCAACTCTCAAATCTTAACACACTTGACCTTTCCAATAATACTTTCACAGGTCAAATCCCTGCTTTGGCACGGTTGACCAACCTGAATTACTTGTAAGCATCACCTTCCTTCCAGATACATATATTGATCAAGTAGAATTCGTATGGCTCTTTCATTCTTCTCCACAACTTTTATTGACGGCTTATTCAGTCCATTTGTCTCTTTGATCAGAAGGCTCAATAACAACAATTTATCAGGAAAAATTCCAACTTGGTTGACTAACATGACTCAACTTTCCTTTTTGTAAGATCCTTGTTTTAGTTCTTGATTTTATATGTTGGTTTATATATTTGTTTGATTGGACTTAAAGACTTGTATACTAACAAAATGTGCATATAAGAAAAAAAGTTTAATGTATTATTTTCCTAATTCAGGGATTTATCAAACAATAACTTGAGTGGGCCTGTACCAACATTCTCTGCCAAGACATTCAAGTGAGTTGGCTATATTTTAGTTAAAAGAATTATTTTTTTACTTTTATTTTATCTTTTTCTGTAGATTTATAAGAATTATTTTTGGCTGTCTTGGTGTATGAAGCATTCTTGGAAATCCTCTGATATGCGTCACGGGGGCTGAATCATACTGCCATCGCACAAGGAACAATTCTGGAAGTATGTGTTAAACGTTTTCATCATTAATCTTCTCAAATTTTAGTTAGAGTCCATTTGGTAAAGGTTATTTGCTTGAAATGTGTGGTGAATGTTACATGCCAAAAGCCACTTATTCAACTTATATGTGGAATACGCCATTTTTGGTTACCAAACGGAGCCTTATTGTTCCCTAAAAGTAACCTGATTACATGTTACATTAATTATTTCCAGCTGCTCGGCCGTTAAGGAAAAAGAAAAACCACAAACATGCCATCGTCATTTGCTCTATCATTGGGTGCATATGTTCACTCTTACTAGGAATTGGGATGTTCCTCAGGTCAAGGAGACGTAAAGAACAAGAAACGCTTTTTTATGCAAACGGTTTGTGCAAATATGAAATTTATTGCTCAATGCATGAATTATATCATGCTCAATATATACACATTTATATACAAATATGCATGTATGTGTGCATCAGTCTATGTATGTATGTGCTAGCTCCATTTCATAGTGCCTTAACATTTTTTATCAAATGTGTAAACTTTGACCAATTTTATTCTACATATGTCAGTATAATATACACATTTTGTAATTTTATAAAAACACATTTTTCAATTATTTTATACATCCTCGCAAATAAATAATACTCCCTCCGTCCCAAATTGTTTTGCAAAGTCAACATTTTTTGATCAACCAATAATAAAAGTCAATGCTCCGTATCAATAATTAATTTAATTTTTAATAATTAAAGTTTATATATTCAGAAACTATATTAAAATCTCTTCAAAGTTGTAAACTCCAAATTAGATTATAATTAAAAATTGACATCCTAATTAAGCGAACAAAATGAAACTGTTTGACCAAAAAAAGTCAAATTTGCAAATCAATTTGGGACGGAGGTAGTAATTTTATACACAGTATTATAAGGATGTTTTCTTTTGGTGTGAAATTTGCTGGTCTGATATGGTCTGGTCTAGTCTGGTAAATGTCTGGTCTCTGTGTATTTTATAATTTTCCAAGTCTGGTCTTGTCTGGGACTAAAAACAGTCCAAAAGAAAACATCCTAAGTCATTTGGTATGAAAGTACTCCCTCTGTTGTGTTAGACTTTGCCAACTTTCCCTTTTTGTTGTCTTAAAAAACATTACCACTTTCCTTTTGAAGTAATAAATACATGATTTTGCTCATCTCTCTCTACTCTGCACAAATTTCCAACTTTTTTTTGTTTCACAATCAACTTAAAGTGTGCAATGTCCAATGAGACATGGTAATATTATCAGCAGGAGTTTTGATCAAAGAAGTCATAAAATAACAATCTTATGAGACAAAGGTAGTATAAAGTTCTACTTTTATGAAAGGAATATTCTTTAATAAGTGAATCTCACTGTTACCCTTGCTTTTTCTTTACTTTTTGCTTGGTTTGACTCAAAAATGTATTTAGGTAAAAGCTTATGAATTTTTATAGTTGCATACAAATTACAAATGTCTTTGAAAGTTAAAATAAGAACTTGCTTGCCAGTAGTATATAGTATATTTGATGGGATTTGGATTTCCTAGTAGGGGATGTTGAAGAAATAAGTTCATCACTTGAGAACTTAAGAAGATTCCAATGGAAGGAGCTTCAGTTTGCAACAAACAACTTCAGCAGCAAAAACATTTTAGGAAAAGGCGGTTATGGAATTGTTTACAAAGGTAATCTAAGGGACGGGACCGTCGTGGCGGTGAAGAGGCTGAATGATGGGAATGCTTCTGGAGGTGAGAAACAGTTGCAGACAGAGATAAAGACAATAAGCTTGGCCGTCCACAGGAATCTTCTTAGGTTGTTAGGGTTCTGTATGACCCCAACAGAAAAGCTCTTGGTTTACCCTTATATGTCCAATGGCAGTGTTGCTTCACGTCTCAGAGGTACTACTACTACTAAGTACCATCTGATGTTTAATTAGTATGTCCTCACCCTTAAGCCATATAATACAAATAGAAGACGTTGGACTAATCTTTCAATCACATTTACTTTTATGATAGAAAATCCCATGTTTTTTTACTCCGGGGGGGGGGGGGGGGGGTCTGGGGGGCCTGTAGTAATCAGGGTTGAAACTCACTCCATTGAGTTTCATACCCTTATGTGGCTAGCGGGTTTCGAACTCGAGACCTTTCGCTAGAAAACCCCATGTTTGCGATTGCTACTTTTATTATTATTGACTATGGTGTGTGGAAACTCTCTTGAAGAAATATGTTTGAGTTTCAGAAACTTAAAAAAAAAACATTATTCCGCTTCATATTTTCTGCAATTCCGTGCAACACTGCAACATTGTTATTGAACTTTTAGGATAGAGTCCGAAGTCTCTTAGTAGATATTACTCTGTACAACATGGCCGAAAAAATGGTACAAAAGGATAACACTTCATGCAAAGTTTGCACTGTAGTCAGAATGCAAAATTAAAGTTGGCATTTGGCCATGGATTCAAGTCAATACTAAGTCATGCTAGCGTTCCACACAGCGGCGGACGCAGGAATTCCTGGTAGAAGGGGCGGCAGTACAAAATTATACCTACAAATACATATATATTAAAAATTTCGGGGTAAATATACCTTAGAATTTTTTTTTGGGAAGGGCAGCAGCCCCCCAATGCCACCCTTTGTGTTCGCCACTGGTTCCACAATGACATTTACTCTTTGTGAAGAACAAAGTGAACGTCTAGTCATCACTTTTAGACTTATCAGGCGTACTTGTAGAAACAATTGAGCAATATATGACTAAAATATACATATTGAGTAAAAATGTGACTTTTTATATTTATAGATCATTATAGTACCTTATACGCTAAGGATAGTAGTAACTTTCAATGATCATGACTGTTCAATTCTACTTTGTTTCTAAGTTTTAGTTGTACAATATTTTAGTGAACACCCATTTTTCCAAATACAAGGTACTAATTAGTTCATGATTGATAAAGAATAAAAAATAGTGTGCTTACACTATTATTTCATATGTATTTGTCTTTATTTTACCAATAAAATAAAATGTACTCCATATATAAGTGGCAGGTTTGTATACTACTCTTTTGAACTAGCTATTCAATAGAGTTACTAATAGAGTTACATATGATATGATAGTGAAGCCAGTGCTGGAGTGGGACAGAAGGAAGCAAATTGCAATAGGAGCAGCCAGGGGGCTGTTATATCTCCATGAGCAGTGTGATCCAAAGATAATTCACAGGGATGTAAAAGCAGCAAATATACTACTGGATGAGTACTATGAGGCAGTTGTGGGGGATTTCGGGCTGGCAAAACTGCTGGATCGTGAGGCATCACATGTCACCACCGCCGTACGAGGGACTGTGGGGCATATAGCCCCAGAGTATCTCTCTACCGGGCAATCCTCTGAGAAGACAGATGTCTTTGGATTTGGGATCCTGCTACTTGAACTCATCACTGGCCTTAAAGCTTTCGAGTTCGGCAAAGTCACTAATAACAATGATGTCATGCTTGACTGGGTGAGTTCACCTTTTGTTGCCCTTTCATAAGACTTATTTGACTGATTTAGATTTCCTAAAAGATGGTGTTTGGAGAAGTCCTTTCCAAATAAAGAAATTGCCTCAAATGTGACTGAAATGTCATAAAAGCACCAAGATAGGCGATATGTTTTAAATCTTCAAAATCCTAGTTTCAATATCTCTTTACCTTTTAGGGATTTAGGACATGTTTACTTCACAGGTTACTTAGCGGTGCTTATTATGACTTTCGTTAATAAGCGGCGCGTAAAATAAGTTGTGCTATAAACTCATGTTTACTTTACATGATTTAAAACACCGTTTAACATTAAAATGTCCAAAATAATCGTATACATATATAGACACACAAACATTCATGTAAACAACCCCTACTCCAACCTACACCCTACCCTACCCCTACTTGTCGAAGGTGGGTTCCCGTACGAGGGTACGGGCACTAGCTCAGGTAGGGGTAAGGGTAGGGGAATGGGGGTTAGGAGTACGGGGAATGGGTGGGGCGGGTGGGGTCTGGGTAAGGTAGGTAGGGTAGGGGTGGTAGGGGTACAATCACTAACTCAGGGTGGAGTGGGGACAGGGGCAAGGGAGGTGTAGGTGTAGGAGTGGGCGGTGGCGTATCCAGAAATTATTTTGAGCTGGGGCGAATTTTGCACTATAAATACGATATTTTAGAATAAGCAATAAATAATGAGTTTTTATTCAACAAAAAAAATCAATACATAACTTTTTATTTCATCCAAAAATTAGATTCACATATTTTAGAATTTTATATGATTAAAATTTCAATTTATAATACGACATAGTAATAACATTGTTTGTACTCTAGTGAAATCTAATAAAAATAAATTTAACAAGAAACAAGTAATGCATGTCATTAGAATAATTTAAATTGAAAATGTACTATAACGTTTTTTTATGTAGTGCAATCAACAATTATAATATTAAGAGAAAATTTTATACTACGTATTATATTATACGTAACTAAATTTATAACATATTCCAAAATTTATATCAATTGTTTGTCAAAATGAAGATTGAGATTGCTTGCAACATTTATAAAAGGTTAAGATATGGCTAAAATCAAACAAATATCCCAATGCTTATTCAAGAGTGCAAAATTAAAATTAGAAAACAAAATTGCAGTTGTAGACTTGTAGGGATTTGATCCCAAAACCTCGCGTCTGCTCTGGAAACTAGGCCTAAGGCTTCGCCCCAACTTGTCTAACATAGCTCGTGTTTCATGACTGTACTTGTATACAAACTAATCAATTTTGTGTGTATATAAATTATATTTTATATACATATATATGGGGGTTGGGTGGGAGTTGAGAGGGGGCAGCTGCCCCCACTGCCCCCATAGTACATACACCCCTGGGAGTGGGTAAGAGTACGCGTATAGGTAGCGGGAGGGCTAGGGGGTTAGAGGTTCAGGGATGGGTTAAGGTAGGGGGGTTAGGGGTGGGTGGGAAGAGGAGGGTTAGGGGTAGGGTAGGGGTTATAGTAAGGGGTAAGGTCAAAGGGTAAGAGTGTTGGCATATTCGGAAACTGAAAAGGTTTAATAAATACATGGGTGGTAAGCGGCACTTTAAGCGTCTGTTTCGGTTAGTAAGCAGCTGTGTGTTTACTTCACGTGTCTTACTAGCCTAACTGTGACTTAAGCAGCGAAGTAAACACGTCCTTAGAGTTTGTGTTAGGGTTTAGCGTTAGCTTTTCAATAGTTTGCCGATTCCATATAAGGTTTAGAGGTGGCTTCCCTACAACAGAGGCTGCGTGACATGGCTGTCCATCATGTACAATTTTGTCTACTTACAATTTTCTCTCATTTTGAACATCTACTCCTATTTTTGTACTTCTACTTTGCTTTATTCATAATATGTGGACTTTCTCTTTCAAATATATAAATTTATATATAAATAACACGTTTATGATGTTTCTTCCGCCAATAAGCATAAAAAAGTTTAAGTAACAAATTGTGGCCACTAAACTTGTTTGTCTTCTTCCTCTCAAAAAAAAAACTTTGAGCATTTGGAAATGACTTTCCATTTGGTTGGCTAAAATATGATTTTGTGACTAAAAAACTTCAAAACAAGCAAAGTTTTCTAATTTTGTAAGTCATAAAGTCACTAGAAAAAGGTGTCAACAGTCTCGGTGAAATGCGGGATGGTGTCTGAAAGGTGATAATGTCTCACTAGTAGTGACCCATTGAAATCAATGACAATGAAATATATACTCAATTTATTACAACTTTTGAAAATAGTCATATGTTTGTCCATAAGTATCACTTTAGCAATACCGCAAGGAAAAGCATCATTGCTAATTGTTATTATTTCTTATATGGTTTTAAAAAAACACTTTTAACAAACAATATATTTTTGACGTATGGTGTAAAATGTTCAGGTGAAGACAGTTTACCAAGAGAAGAGACTGAACGAACTCGTTGATAAAGAGTTGGAAAACAAATACGATGAGATGGAGGTAGGCGAGATGGTTCAAGTTGCTTTGCTATGCACCCAATACGCTGCCGGACGAAGGCCAAAGATGTGTGAGGTGGTTCGAATGCTGGAAGGTGATGGGCATTCAGAGTGGTCTGAAGCATCCCATAAAATAGAACCAATCACTAGCAACAGTAACAGCAGTAGATCTAGAGCACAAACAATGTCTTCATCAGAACGATTTTCGGGTCAAGTTGTTGACTCACACTCACTTGCACTACCCATGGAGCTCTCTGGTCCCAGGTAGTACATAGAGTTCAATGGTAATGGTTATAACATACAAGTACATAACACAAAATTGAGAATTATACAATTTAGGGCCTTATGTTGGTCTATCACGATATTCAACTTCATACTATAATATACAACCGATTGTACCATGGGCATGGTGCATCAGGTGCCAGTTTTGAAAATATATACTTACATCCTTAGAGGTAATGTTTGTCTTTCAGGTTTAGATTTTTTGTTTCATTTTCAATCCTCCTCCCGTCCTATTTCTCATGCAAGCCTCCAACTAGAGAATCCATTAAATTAAGAGCCCCCTAAATATAAAAACCCTAAAGTAGAGATGATGCCGCTCCGCGGATCATTGAAAATCAATCTCGATCAATTGGTGACTACACAGAGAAATTCTTCCTCTATTGAGTTTGTAAGTAAAAGTTCAGTGAAACTTTGTTGAATAATTTTCAATTTTTACATTAATTAAAGTGGCAGAACTCTTCAAAAGTGACACTTTTGAAGCTATACAACGTCTTGTTTGTGGTTCTTTTGATGTATAGACATTGCACCAGTATTATTTTGATATGGTTACTTTTATTGGATATACAGTGAACCTATTCATAACATTCTTTTTATACCTTTAGTATTGTTGGTGATGACCACTTACTTGACCTACCATGTGAGTTATATATAGTTGATGAATTGAGGGAGTGTTTGCAATTGCTTCAACTTTAAAAAAGTGATTTTTTAAAGTGATTTTGAGAAAAGTGATTAATAGTAAAAGTTGGTAGTGTTTGTGAAAAAAGTGATTCTGGACAAGTAAAAGTTGATAGTGTTTGGTAAAATAAGTACTTTTTGTGTAATAGAAAAAGTGAGAAGCAGTTTAAAGCACCCTTCTACCTGCTTCCAGCTTTTAGCTTTTAAGTGATTAATTTAAGCAGAAGCTGTCATTTCAAAACACTTTTTTCAACTTTTTTAAGCCAAAAGCTTAAGAGCGCTTTTTTTAAGCAAACCCAAACACTCCTTGAGTTTCCTAAGAATTTATACACCAACTTTCAGGATAGCTGTGATCTTCTTTTGAAAATATTTTTTCCCATGGCAATTGAGACATCGAAACATACTTAGAGCCCGTTTGGAGAACTCTGTTTTCGGCTTATCAGGCTTATCAGCCAGCTTTTTCACCAAACACGTAACTTTTACTTTCGCGCGCTGAATTGTGTAATAAGCCGAAAAAGTAAGGTTGGAGTTACTTTTCTGGCTGTATTGGCTGAAGTTACTGTAGAGGACCATTTTAGCTATTTGTACATATAATTTTTTCTTTAATTTATTAATAAAATATATTTTTAAAATATTTTTTCCTTAAATCAGCAGAATTAGCCAAAACAGCCACTCCAGCCAGAATATCATAAATTTCAGCAGAATCAGCCAAAACAGCCGATTTTGGTGCTACCAAACGGGCTCTTAATCGTTCTAATTTCAAATGAAATAAGTTCTTTGGGTGTGGTCGTGTGGATACTTGGGAACAAAAATGGTTTCTACTCTTCTACTAAAAGTTCTAAATAAGTTAATAATTTTTTTAAAAAAGAAAAGCCAATAACTATATTAATCAAGGCAATCGCTCGTTAGATGGCTTACATATACGCTCAGGACAGTAATCAAAACCGCTACAACCCGCTTGAGAAAGGACCGCCCTAGCTAAACTGTTAGTTGCACGATTCGTGGATCGTTTACAATAACTATCAATAAAACTAGCTTCAGAATTAAGATTTTATGTGATATTTTCAATTACCACATTAAAATAGGAATTTCCAGAATCACCTTCTAAGCTAGTGGTGAAAATTTGCACACCCGTCTCGAGGATCACTCGATCTCATCCTTTCCTTTTCGCCCAAGCTAATGCCTCTCTCACCCCTATGGCCTCCGTTATTTTGACTGGCGAGTCTGCTCTGCAAGAATCCCAACTGCTGCCCATAAAATTACCTTCATGGTCTCTCGCTACCCAACCCCAAGCTCTTCTGCTCCTCTGATCATGAATTGCACCATCCACATTGATTTTTATTTCCCCTGGAGCAGGTCTCATCCATTTGGTTCTCGATTCCACCCCTCAATGTGGCACTGCTGATATGCCTTGAGCCGCTCGCCAACTTGAAGCATTGGAGCTCCAATACTGATTACATGTGATGGATTGAAGGTTTTATTATTCCAAATCACTTTGTTGCACTCCTTCCAAATACTCCACAATAATGAGATAAATCTGCATAATTCTTCCTGTGTGATGGTGTTAAAAATATGTTCCACCCAATCCTGCAAGGAATTGGTCGTGTGCCTCAAATCCATCCTGCTTTGCTCCATAGTTCAACCACCAGTCTGCAATATTTGAATAGACGGATCGTTGATTCATCATCCTCATGACAAAATCTGCACTCCCTCGAGATGTCAACCTGTATCTTTCTCAGCCTGTCCGTCGTTGATAAAACATTAGTCATTGCCTGCAATAAAAAATGTTGAAACTTTGGATGAATAAAAAGCCCCACATTTTTGTCCACCCCATCCTTGCAATGAGTTAATTATTTAATCCATTTTTCTATTATACTAAAAATTAGCACGTACAATATTTAAAAAATTATGTTTTAATATAGTATCACATTACGAAATGAACGTATCAAATGCAAATATTATTAATATTACATTAAAAAAAATTGTATGAGTTAAGAAAAGTTAATTCAATTTCTCTTGTAGATATTTCTCTGCAAAAAAAAATAGCTTCACAAAAAAATCAACTGATAGTTCTTTGTTCATAAAATATCTATCGTTTTATGTTCTATTGTTTTCAAATAGTTCTTTGTTCATCATCAAATAATTTTATGTTCTATTGTTTGTTCTATTCCGTTTCAGAAATTAATTTCACATTCCTTTTTGATACATTTAACCCAATTTCCTGTTGGAAATATGATGAAATAAATAATGGTATAATATATGAATTGGACGCGGGTTATTATACATTAAAGGACAATTTAATTACATAGTTGGATTGATTTTATTTAATGAATAGAATCCATAGTTGTAAAGTTGTAAAAGTGATGTATTAATTTGATGAATTATTGTCCGATATTTAAAATAAATGGTACTTTTATATGATAAGAAATAATGTTCAAGTATCATATAACGTGACTTGATAAGATCAAAAGATGAACTAGTATACAAATACTTCAAGTCAAAAGCCGGCCATTTAATTTTTGGAGGACAAAAATTCTGGAATGATTTTTAATTGAAGTCTACGAAAGTTTATTATTGCTTGAGTAATATTGCATGTTGACTAAGTTATAATCTGAACGTGCAGTTTGAATTTTAAAAATTTGAAATCAAAAGTGCTAAGTCAGACTTAGTTAGTTTGATCCTACTATCATGGATAGTGGCAATATTGTAGGAGCAATAACTTTGTGACCCATTACTCTATTCATATATGTATATATCTGATTTCCACAAAAACAACTCCTCGCATGCTCTTATTTATTCTCACGTACACAAGGATTTGAACCCACTTGCTTTTCCGTTGCATTAAATTTGAGAACTACACCCACGAACAAATAGTTTTTTTTTGTTCTCATTAGCTCTATTTTTATCCTCTTCTATTCGAACGAGTTTGGTTCTTTCCGAGAGAAGTAGGGATGGACTCGGGCCGGGCCAACCGGCCCGGAACCGGACCGGCCCGCTACTGTGCGGGCCCGGACCGGCCCGGTCAACCGGTTCGGTTCCGGTTCGGGCCTCCAGGCCCGGTGGTATACCGGTCCGGGCCCGGGCCTCCAGTTTAGTGAACCGGCCCGGCCGGGCCGGGCCCGGTTCGGGCCGGAATTTAATTTTTTTTTTTTTTTTTTGAAATTTTTTTAAGTTTTGGGTTGGATTAGGTATTTTGGGCCATTTGAGGTGGTTTGGGGTGGTTTGGGGTGGAGGGGGAGGGGTAGGGGGTTAAATAAGAGAAGAAGAAGAAGAAAAAAAAAAACATTCCGGGTGGCCCGGCCCGGCCCGGCCCGGTTCTGGCCCGGAACCGGAACCGGAACCGCCCACCACCGGTTCGGGCCCGGGCCTCCTTTTTCTGAACCGAGGCCCGGCCGGGCCCAGGCCCGAACCGGGCCCGAACCGGAACCGGTCCACCCCTAGAGAGAAGTCATAAAATTTCCATAGTTCTTACTTCATTTCTTTCCCGCTCATCTCTATTAATTGGCAATTGGGCAACGGTCGAAGTGTTTCTGTCAAGCAAGCTAAAGGACCGGAACAGAGGTAGGATTATCCTGGGAGCGAGTTGGCCAGTCCCGTTCGAGTAGCTATCGAGATACGGGGGCTATCTTTCTTCAAGGCCAGTCCGGTTAACGGACGATTTTACGCTAAGTCTTCTTTTCTCTACTTTTTATTTTAATATTTAATTTCTAATTATTGTTTCTATTTTATTTGTTCTTGCATTTGGTGGTTTGTCTGGTGATTTGTGATTAAACTCGGGATTATATCTGATTAAACTCGCATTTTAATACTATTTTTCTAACAATCTTGAAGAAAGATATTATTTCTCGAGTTTTGAAAATCCAATATGACGAACTTGGAAAATGCTGCTACTTCTGAAAACGTTGTTATTGAGAATAATGTGAATGAAACCCCTGAAAATAATGTTAATTCTGTGTTTGTGACTAATTCTGGAGACACACCTGAATTTGTTGCTACGGGCTCTCACAGGGTTGATTTGACCGGAATGCCTGAAAAATTTTCCGAGCAATTTTTCAAGCGTTGGCAACAACGCATGAAAATTTGGTTAATCACCAAGGGATTGCTCTCGGTAATTATGACGGTGTGCCCCCCTGTTGTCGAGTCTGATCCCAAAAGTCTTGAACGCCAAACTTTATGGCGTGAGAGGAATGAAATAGCCAAAGGAATGATATTGTTGGGACTCTCCGACATGTTATTTGATGTCTATTGCACCCTCCACGGCACGGCTAAAGACCTTTGGGATGAGTTGGATAGGAAATATAATACTGATGACCACGGTCTAGAAAAGTATATTGTTTCCAAATTCTTGAGATTCGACATGAAAGAGGGAAAATCTGTTTTAGAACAAACACAAGAATTTGAGCTTATCTTACATTCTCTCCGTGAAGCAGATATGGAATTGCTTGAAAAATTTAAAGTCATGGCTGTAATTGAAAAATTCCCCAAATCGTGGGAAGATTTTGGTTTGACTTTAAAACACAAAATGAAAAAGATAACTTGGAAAAGTTTGATGCATTCCATTACTGTTGAGGAAGAACATAAGAAAGCGGGTTATATTGTGCCTGTTGAATTTCAGCCAAAGGCTCATGTTTTAACCGGGGGAAAGCAGTCACAAAATTCTAAAAATAAACAACCATAATCTTTTAAACCAATAAAGGCCAAATTAAAAATTGCAAAGAAACCAAAGGCAAACCGGCCATGCTGGAACTGTGGACAGATGGGGCATTGGGCCAAATTATGTCCAAATAAAAAGGCTAAGGCTCAATCTGGTGGACCTCAAGTCAACGTGGTGACTGGAGGAACTAGTTCCGATGGGTATGTTTCTATTAACCCTCAAGTTTTCACTATATATAATTCCAATGAGTGGCTAATAGATACAGGAGCGAATGTGCATGTATGTGCTGATAAATCGCTCTTTGTTTCTTATCAGCCTGCGGTTGGAAGAACAGTGATGATGGGAAACACAAGTGCTGCTAGTGTGCATGGAGTTGGAAAAGTAGAAATAAAATTTCCTTCGGGAAAAATACTTACTTTGCATGGAGTGCATCACGTTCCCGAAATTAGAAGGAACATTGTTAGTGGTTCCATTCTAGTTAGGGAGGGTTATGAGTTATCTTTTAAATTTAATAAAGTTGTAATTTTATTTGGTGGACTTTTTATTGGCAAGGGTTACTTGTCGGATGGACTTTTTAAGATTGTGGTTGATTATTTTGAATTAAATTATGTATCTGAGAATTGTGATTCTTCAACTTTATGGCATTATCGTTTGGGTCACGTTAATTTAGATTCTGTAAAAAGAATGATGAATTTAAATTTAATTCCTAAACACTCTATTGATAAAACTAAGAAATGTATGGTATGTGCTACTACAAAACAAGTAAGAAAACCATATCATTCAATTGATAGAAATTCTGAATTACTTGATTTAATTCATACCGACATTTGTGAGTTTAATGGAGTGTTGACTCGTGACAAGAAGAAATACTTTATCACTTTTATTGATGATTATTCTAAATACTGTTATGTGTATCTACTTAAGGGTAAAGATGAAGCTCTTGAAAAATTCTTAATTTTTAAGAATGAAATAGAGAATCAAACCGGCAAGAATATTAAAAGGTTAAGATCTGATAGGGGAGGAGAGTACACTTCTAATTTAGTTGTACTAGAATGCCAAAAATATGGTATAGTACATGAAGAAACACCTCCTTATTCACCACAATCAAATGGAGTAGCTGAACGGAAAAATAGAACTTTTAAAGATATGATTAACAGTTTATTAGAGAATTCTGGATTACCTAAGTTTATGTGGGGGGAAGCCTTGAATACAGCCTGCCATATTCTGAACATGATTCCCATGAAACATAAAGATAAGTGTCCATTTGAACTCTTGATAGGCAGAAAACCAAGTTTAAAATATTTTAAAGTGTGGGGCTGTCTTGCAAAAGTATTAGTCCCTGAACACAAAAGAAAGAAACTTGGGCCTAAAACTGTTGATGCTATTTTTATTGGTTATGTTGAACATTCTTATGCATTGAGATTTTTGGTTATTAAATCTGAAATTTCTGGCATAGATGTTAATACTATTATAGAACTTCGTGATGCTACTTTCTTTGAAAATGTTTTCCCAATGAAAACGGGTGTGCCCCAAAATATTTCTTTTAAAAATCAAGAAACCACATTTAATTCAATTCCTGATCAAGTGGAAAAGATGACAAATGTGGGGGTAGAATCTAGTAGTACTAGTCTCGCTAGTTTTGAATCAAATGAACTAGATGAGCCTAGGAGCAAACGGGCTAGGATCACTAAGGAATTTGGAAGTGATTTTATCACTTACAATATTGAGGGTGATCCAGTTTCCTTTAGAGATGCAATGGCTACTTCCGAAGCCATGCATTGGAAGGATGCCATTAAAAGTGAAATGGACTCCATTGTTCAAAATGGAACATGGGAGCTCGTTGATCTTCCACCCGGGTGTACACTACAAAAAAAGTGCACATAGACTGCACATGGACCACATTTTTTTTTTGCAATGGCAGCATAACTGTCATTAAAAACACCATTAACCACACATTTTTTTTATTTACCACACACAAAAATGTGGTAAAAGCTTAGAGACGACAGTTTTTAACCGTGGCCAATGTTTTTACCACAGCTGTTGTGCCGATGCACCTAAAACTGTCGCAAAACTGTCGTAAAAACATAAGGAGGAACATTTACGACAGTTTTGCGTCAGTTTTACGTGCGTCGCCACAACAGCCGTGGTAAAAACATTGGCCACGGTTAAAAACTGTCGTCTTTGACCTTTTACCACAGTTTTGTATGTGATAAATAAAAAAATGTGTGGTTAATAGTGTTTTTAACGACAATTATGCGGCCATCGCAAAAAAAAATATTGGTCTATGTGCGGTCTATGTGCACTTTTCTTGTAGTGTGTACTACTATTGGGTGTAAATGGATTTTTAAGAAGAAATTAAAACCAGATGGAACCATTGATAAATTTAAGGCCAGATTAGTTGCCAAGGGTTACAAACAAAAGGAAGGTATTGATTTTTTCGATACATATGCTCCGGTTGCAAGAATGACCACAATTAGAATGCTTATAGCAATGGCCTCCGTATATGGTCTTAAAATTCATCAAATGGATGTTAAGACAGCTTTTCTTCATGGTGACCTTGAAGAAGAAATTTATATGGATCAGCCTGAAGGATTTGTGGCAAAAGGCAATGAGAGAAAAGTTTGTAAATTAGTTAAGTCTCTATATGGACTTAAGCAAGCCCCTAAGCAATGGAACGAAAAATTTGATAAAATAATTCTTTCGTTTGGATTTACTCTTATAGATGCTGATCAAAGTGTTTATTATAAATGTAAAGGTGATATTAGTATTATTTTATGCCTATATGTTGATGATATATTATTATTTGGCACTAATGATAATATTATTTTTGAGACAAAGTCATTTTTAAAAACAAAGTTTGAAATGAAGGATATGGGTGTGGCTGAATTAATTATTGGGCTAAAGTTGACTAGATCAACTGAAGGAATTTCTATTTCTCAGTCGCATTATATTGAAAAATTAATTGAGAAATTTGGATTTAAAAATAGTAGAATTGCTAAAACACCCTATGATCCTTCAGTAGCTTTGTATAAAAATGAAAGTGGTGTTCCTGTGTCTCAATTAAGATATTCTCAGATGATTGGTAGTTTGGGCTACTTAGCTAACTGTACTAGACCTGATATTGCATTTTCAGTGTCTAAGTTGAGTCGGTACACCTGTTGTCCAAATAGAACTCATTGGGAGGCTTTAGATAGAGTATTTAGATACTTAAAAGGAACTATTTCCTTATGTTTGCATTACGGAAAATATCCTCCTGTTCTTGAAGGATATAGTGATGCAAGCTGGATAGCTAAAAACTCCGGGAGTTATGGATGTACCGGCTATGTGTTTACGTTTGGTGGTGGGGCTGTGGCCTGGAAGTCCACTAAACAAACAATACTTTCTCGGTCTACTTTTGAGGCTGAATTATGTGCGTTGGATACTACTGGAATTATGGCTGAATGGTTTATGGGACTAATGTCTGAGTTGCCTATATTCAGCAAGCCAATTCCACCTATTTGTTTGCATTGTGATAGTATGAGCACAATTGCAAAAATTAGGAGTACCAAGTATAATCAAAAGACTAGGAGACACATTCAAGTTAGATTAAAAACTATAAGGAAATTTGTGTCTCAAGGGGTATTTGCTGTTGATTTTGTTGGATCCAAAGACAATACAGCAGACCCTTTAACCAAAGGACTTGATTTAAATCAAGTGATAAAATCCAGGTTAGGAATGGGACTGAAACCCAATAATTATTCAACTACGGTAGCAACCCAACCTATCTGAGTGGAGATCCCACAAAGTAGGTTCAATGTGGTATAAACAAACCGTAGAGTGAATTGTGCATCTCATTAAAATATTTTATGAGTTCCATTCCTTGATAAGCCTGAGAGATGCTGAAATTGCTAAGTTAGTAAGAGTTTAAGACTCTGAATGGGATCGAGCTTTTATAGCAGGGTGTTAGCAATGCACTCTTGGAGATGCTCAACTATGAGAATGTTATTGTGTGGCCGCAATAAGAGAATAAGGGTTAATTCTTCATGACATTCTTGAGACAGGATCAGGACGCATGGCCGTAAAGCGTCAACCCTATAGATCGTTGCCATTGCCATTAGTGTGTTGCTTTTATCCCACGCCAACACTATCAAGGTTCGAGTTCAAGAACTCTGTTCACTCAGTTCCTGTGGGGGTTAGGGGTAAAAGCTTAGAAGTTGGTTCAAACCGGAAGGTACCATATTCGAAAGCACATTATGTCTTTTAGAGTTGAGCCAACAACTATGGATTTGTGGGGGATTGTTGGAAATATGATGAAATAAATAATGGTATAATATATGAATTGGACGCGGGTTATTATACATTAAAGGACAATTTAATTACATAGTTGGATTGATTTTATTTAATGAATAGAATCCATAGTTGTAAAGTTGTAAAAGTGATGTATTAATTTGATGAATTATTGTCCGATATTTAAAATAAATGGTACTTTTATATGATAAGGAATAATGTTCAAGTATCATATAACGTGACTTGATAAGATCAAAAGATGAACTAGTATACAAATACTTCAAGTCAAAAGCCGGCCATTTAATTTTTGGAGGACAAAAATTCTGGAATGATTTTTAATTGAAGTCTACGAAAGTTTATTATTGCTTGAGTAATATTGCATGTTGACTAAGTTATAATCTGAACGTGCAGTTTGAATTTTAAAAATTTGAAATCAAAAGTGCTAAGTCAGACTTAGTTAGTTTGATCCTACTATCATGGATAGTGGCAATATTGTAGGAGCAATAACTTTGTGACCCATTACTCTATTCATATATGTATATATCTGATTTCCACAAAAACAACTCCTCACATGCTCTTATTTATTCTCACGTACACAAGGATTTGAACCCACTTGCTTTTCCGTTGCATTAAATTTGAGAACTACACCCACGAACAAATAGTTTTTTTTTGTTCTCATTAGCTCTATTTTTATCCTCTTCTATTCGAACGAGTTTGGTTCTTTCCGAGAGAAGTCATAAAATTTCCATAGTTCTTACTTCATTTCTTTCCCGGCTCATCTCTATTAATTGGCAATTGGGCAACGGTCGAAGTGTTTCTGTCAAGCAAGCTAAAGGACCGGAACAGAGGTAGGATTATCCTGGGAGCGAGTTGGCCAGTCCCGTTCGAGTAGCTATCGAGATACGGGGGCTATCTTTCTTCAAGGCCAGTCCGGTTAACGGACGATTTTACGCTAAGTCTTCTTTTCTCTACTTTTTATTTTAATATTTAATTTCTAATTATTGTTTCTATTTTATTTGTTCTTGCATTTGGTGGTTTGTCTGGTGATTTGTGATTAAACTCGGGATTATATCTGACTAAACTCGCATTTTAATACTATTTTTCTAACATTTTCCTCTTACCTACCTCAGGTAGTACTCGTTTCTCTTTCTCTTCGTTTTTTTTTTAAATTTTCATCTTTAATCTTATACTTTTATTTACTCTCATGTTTTTTCCCATATTTTATGAACTATCCTATTACATAATGTTTTACTTTAATTTGGAAAGGAAACATTATCAGCAAAAAAATACATGAATGGCAAACAAAAAGGTGTGAACATATCTATAACTTTAAACTACTTTAAGAAAATTGTGTTTCTCTTCGTTTTTTTTTTAATTTTCATCTTTAATCTT